GTAAAGTACTGAACAGATTAAATTTTTAAATGTGCAAAACCTCTTGCTGACTATGGTTATAATATTGTATAGCAGATCTCTAGAGCTAATTCATCTTGTTTAGTTAGAATGTTATGTCCCCATTTCTATCCCTCCCAGCTTTTGACAACTAGCTTTCTAGTATATTAAAAAAAACCCAACAACAACCAAGAAGAAACCCCAGATACTTCCACCCTGAGTAGTTGCAGATTTTTCTGCACTCTTAAGACTCTCCCGGTACGGCAGTGATGGCCCTTTTTGAGGTTCTCTGACATGGTTCCATTGTTCTCATACAGAAACATCAAGGCACCCCAGATACTGTCTCCATCCCCCACCACAAACTTTGCTTCTGCTTTTAAGTTTTTCTAGGAAAAGAAACTGTTTAGTCTGGTAACTCAAGACTTAGTAAAGCTTCCTGATCAGATTAAACACCCCTAGTTTGAAATGGTTTCTAGTTTCATGTTCTGCAGTCAGAGAAAATTCAGAGCAAGTTTGCGATCCTATGTCTAATCCCAATTGTGGAGTCAAGCATCCTTGTCATATTTCTTTGGGGAAGGATTTAATACATTTGAATCCTTTCTTCTCTGATACTAACTTTTAACCTTTAACCCTTCTGCAAATCATATTTTTCCTTTCCAATATCTCCCTTTAAGTTGTCCAGCCTAACATTGAATGTTGTTCTGGAATCTGCCTAGACTGTGTCACACTCCACCTGCCTCTTGGTGTGTCTGGTCCTTCTGGCATGCTGGAACCACGGGTAGTGGCCAGTGCAGGGCAGCTCTCTCTGGCTCTGTGTGCCCCAGTGAAGAATCTGCCCAGTAGGAACAGCATGGTTCAAAAGAGAAGTTTCTGAACATTCTGCGGGCCCAGATTCCTTCGCAGGTCTCTAGTTAGCCTCTGGTGGTGGTGGTGGGAGTGATGGCCAAGAGCAGCTTTTGGACCTCACCCTTCTTTAAGCTGGGGCAGCTGTTCTCAGCTGTTCAGGTGGCAAGAGTTCCCAGGGAAGTTTACTTGCGATAAGAGGTACTAGTTCTAAAGACAAAAATATTTGATGATCATGCTAGGTAGACAAAAGTCTGGAAGCTTGAAAGACACTGAGGGGCTTGAGTCCCTCATTCTGCCACTATCATTCTCTCCCCACCACAAGCCAGCTATTTAATCTGTACCTGGAGTGCTGAGCTCAATCATATTGTCTAGGCTAGCTGCCATGGTGAGCAGAAATCTATGTAAAATGCCCAGCACAGTGTATGGAACAAAGATACTTTTGGTCAACAACAGGATGCCATTTGAGTGTGTGCAATAATTGGAAAAAACCTAATATCATGCTGAGGATGTGTCAGGACTGTCATTTTGAAGTACGAAGATAAGAATGTTCATTTACCAGAACCGGTCTTTTTTATTTTGGGTAGATTTCAGTCTCACTCTTTCCTAGATATGGATGATATGGCATTTCATATATGTAAACAAAAGTAATAACTGAATGGGGAGGAGCATTGCTAATCACATGACTCAGTTTCACAAGAGAGTCCTAGTCACTGCTGCTTCTATTTATGATTGTGTCCTGAAAGACACAGCTAATTTTAGGGTATAGCTTCAAACTTTTCAAGTGTCATGAAACATTCCACCTGGGTCTGTCCTACTCTTCCTTTTCTCTCAGCACCTAGCAGTGGGCTTGACACAAAACTTGTGTTATGTAGCCCTGTGTTGGATGCAGAGTACGCCCTAGAGAAGAGGCAGTGGGAAGTAGCAGATTATAATGTGGCCACAAATAAGCAGGACCTGTTGCCCTAGGAACTCAAAGCCTTATTTGGTGAAATGAATGCATCAGAAAATAAGTTCCAAAATATGTAGCTTTGGAGGAGTAAATCAAAGCTGTTGGCAAGAATATAGGAAAATGGACACGGTGCCCTGGATAAAACCATTGTTCATGGTCCAAAATGACCTCTGAAGAGGTCATACCATGAATTTGGGGCAATATGGGGTTGGAGGGTGTAGGAAAACACTGTTTTAGGGTTCAAGAGCAGCATGGCCCAGCACAAACACCAAGGGAAGGGTTGAAGGTGTATCTCAGAAAAAAGATAAAAGGTGATGCAGGTCAATGCCAGCTTTGGTCAGTTACCTGAGTGATACTTTTGCTCTTCATTGAAAGGTTGGTGATCAACTTACCTCAAGGGATAAGGAATGGAGATTAAGGGAACTCCTGTAACTGAAGTGATATTTTAACATTACCAATCCAATCATGCCCTCTAGTACTGAAACCCATTCAGTGGCTTTCTTTCAGACTGAGAATAAACTTTGGTGCTTTTCACTGTCCTGCACAGGGTTTAGGATTGGGGTCCTGCCCATCTTTCCAGCTTCAGCTCAGTCCATGCTCCCTCCAGTCACTTGGTTCTGACCACTTTGCTGTCCGTTTAACTCACAGAGATGTTTTGCCACCCCAAGTTTTTTCACTTGGTTTAATGCTGCCTGGCTACCTTTCCCCTCTTGTTCTGTAAACTCCTGCCTTCCAACGTCACCTCTTCCAAAACATCTCTGCAGACCAGTCTAGCAGATCCTTTGCTCTATGTCCTTAGATTCTCAAAGACCTCCGATCATTTATTAGTTTATGATTTCACAACTGACTAAAGAAAATGTTCTTCATATGTAGGGAACAAATTTGCCTATTCTCCATCACATCCTCTGAGTCTGGCAAAGATCACAGGCCCAGGATTATTTGCCAAAAAAAAAAAAAAACCAAACCATTAATATGTAAGCAACAACAACAGTAACAAAATAGAACTTGGCTGACACACAGCAGCTTCTTGGAATTGTAACTATTACATTATGGTGCATTTTCTGTTGGGCATTTTTAGGTATTTTTTAACAGTAAAATAATTTATAGCACTAAAAATTATAATGTAGAAAAATATTTAAATATGCCTGGTTATTATTTGCCTAGTCACAATTCAAATGGAAAAAGAAATGGATTTTTATATATGGCACTATCTGCTATGGGAGGATAAGTTGGTACATTTTCTGTAGGTGCACAAAAGGTTTATACAACACACCTGCTCATATATAGTATCAGAGGGCCATTTTTCTAACCTGGAGGGAATGATTGTAACTTCCCTTCCATTTGTATAAACATAATAGATAGTTGTACATAAATAGAGATTCAACAGCTCCAGCAAAATTCCTACTGCCAAAGAGAAGAAAAATGTCAGAGTAAGCTGTAAAAAAAGTGCTTGGTTTTTTAAATGTAGAAATGGCAATTCGCAGCATTTATACAAATTGCCATGTACTGCGGGTTGCAGCTCTGAGACTGAATAGTGAGAAAAGTTGCAGCTAAGAGCAAATCTGAGGACATTTGTTTTGGAAGTAAAGGCTTAGTCAGTATTATAGCATTCCAGCAATCCACATGTCATTAGAGTACTTTGTATTGGGATTGAGACTTCCTGCATTGACTTTCTCACATGTAAAGATGCTCTGATTTAAACTCTGTTAAAATGTTTAAAAAGAAACATATCTTGGATGATGTAAGGAGAATTCATTTTTAAAAAGCCTTCTTTTTCTTTCTTGGAACCGGGGATCGAACTCAGGTCCTTGCACTTGCGCAGAAGGCGGCGAAACCACTGAGCTAAATCCCCGGCCCTCAAAAAGTCTTCTTTATATTTTTAACATATTAGTTTGTAACGATATTAACATGACTAATGGCTGGATAGATCTGATATATGGCAGCTTATTTTTGTTACAGTTTTAGATGCATTCTGTGAATGCTATACATATAGCAAAATGTGAGATGGTAGCAGCAGAAAATATAAATAGTTTCAAAAGGAGTTACACAAATTAGAAAGTATGAAAAACAGAGTGAGAGAATGGAGGAGAGTTAACAAGTTGATCATTAAGTCACAAACAGTAAATTTTCCCACAATGTCCTACCTTAAAAATGGAACATGCAATTGAATTAGACAACAATGTACTAAAATATTTTATATATTTGTATTTTGACTTCTGTTTTCTTCTCTGTAAGAGTATATTTAAATATATTTATTTGTATTTATATATTTCCTTAATAAAGTACTTATTTATATAAATAGCTTAGATTTTTTAGAATGGGAAAGGATATTTGTGGATGAAAAAAAAGTATTTTTTTTATTGGCAAATGCAATGGAATCCAGAGCCCAGGGTCACAACGAGCAAAGTCACAGCCAAGTTTGGACTTGAAATGACATGGTGTCAAGTCCTTCTAGACTCAGCCGAGTCTCACTGTGGTCACTTCCCTGAGTATTTTATACAAGGAAATGCATCTTTAATAACATGAGATCAAACAGAGCCAACTCCTGAGTATTTATAACAGCAAAAACTAGTACTTAAGCTATTCTGAAGCTCAGAATATTTTAATATCAGGGCGTGGTGGGGCACACTTGTAATTGCAGTACTTGAGAGGCTGAGGCAGGGTGTTCACCATGAGTTCAAGGCTAGCCTAGGCTACACAGTGAGTTCAAAAGCCAGTCTGAACTACATAATGAGACTCTGTCTCAAAAAAGCAACAGAAAATTGGTAAAGTCATGTTTTAAATTTTAGATGAAATGATGTGATTTTTCTTTTGTTTTCTTACCAGCTTACTTCCTAATGATGATGTAATGGCACAGATGAAGAGTTGGCATCTGTCCTCTCAGTAAGGGCCGAAGAGATGGAGGAAAGGCAATTTAAGGATTGGGGATGGAGAAATAGAAAGTTGGAGGAAGAACGTGCTGTGACAACTCTACAAAACCAATAATCCACAGGTGGACAGCATTTTACAAAAGGCAGGGGGTGCTGCTCCAGTCTTTTAGTGATAAACCAGTATTTCCATAACACATAGCTTTGTCTAGGATGTCCTTTTTTTCAAGAAAGAAGACTGTGCAGAAATGCTAAAGTGATCTTTTATGTTTTTAAATGACTATCCAAGTCTGCACTGAGATGGCCACAATCCGTCACAATGCCACACAATCGCCTGTTACCTTGGATACAAGGCTGGCTCTGTATGCTGCTAGTTGCTTCAGGTACTCCTTTTTCGCAGCCTCGGTTTTCTTTTTATAGACCTATGACAACAACAAAGAGTCTTAAATTAGAAAGTGCACCTGCTTTCGTTTTCAGAGAAGGAGAAGAAAAAATGATAATTGCACACACATATGTATAATTATATAATATATATCTCCCTGAGATTGTGTTTTCCTACTGAAACAAATTTGAAAGAAGAATGACAATAGACTAGATAAGAAGATTAACAATGGCAAAATTTTACATTTTACACAATGCACATGAAAGGATTTATCTGGGATACTTTGAGAGTGGAAGTAGTTGGCTTAGGAAGATGCTACTGATGAAGGTTCCCAAGGAAACCATACATGAGCAAGTAAGACATTCAGATTTCTGTAACGGGCAAATAATTCCACAGTTCAGTCATGGCCAAATACAGATGTTCCACGCTTAGTACAAATACAAAGATGATTTCAATATGACAGATCATGTTTAATAATCATAATCAAAGGACATATAGTAGAGTTTTAAGGTCCATCACTATTCGAAGATTTCAAGCCCTGAAGTTCTATTTTTGGACTCAGGAGTCAGGGATAACAATGAAGAATACATTTGGGAGTGGAATGGGGACCCTGAGTGGCAGAGGATCACATGAATGCCATGCTGCGTGACCCGTGCAGGTTGCTCCTTTCCAACAAAAAAACCTGTGGACACTTCATTATGAAAAAGTAAAAGTGTTCTAAAATGAATCTCCATTTATGAAGCCTTTTGTTTTTGAGAGGGAATCATCTTGAAAATAAAAGTAAAATAATCCAAAATTGAGCGAAAGAACTGAAAGATGACTTGCTTGTATGCTAAAGGTCACACTGCTAAGTTAAACAGAGAGGAGACATTAGGCTCAAAAATGAAAGACGAGCAGAGTGAACACACATGGCCGTCTGCTGCCATTAAGCTGAGTGTTTCAAGGTTTTAGACAAGATGTTTGGCAATCTTTTGAAATCAGCCCAAAAGAACAAAATATTTTTCGTCATTGACTGTGGAAATGGAAATGTATTTTCCTTGAAACAAATATTTTAAATTTTCCACATGTTGAATTTTACAGCAGGGCACAAGGCTTGGTTCATATTTTGTAATGCTGAGTTCAAAATCAGACACAGGTCAGTACTGAAAAGTGGCTTTGGAATTAGTCAGAGTAGTTAAATATAAATTATATCTGAAGACCTAATATCTGCCAGTTGGCAGCAGAGGTAAATGGCTGTTTTCTAATGATGATTGTGGTTTGCCGAGCCCAGTACTCATCTATGAAATTCAAGATTGAGAAATATTATTTACTCATGAATATTTTAATTAAGGCAGAACATTTTACTTAAGGTAAACAAGCAACTAACCTTGTCAACAGAATTATAACAGGACTCTATAAAATGAATGTGTTAATTATTCTCCTTAAAGGAGGCCTTAAGCCTTGGATTTTACACTTGATGTCTTGGTACAATAAAAGGCCAATGAAAATATAGAATCAAGAATTAGCACAATCTTATCAAATGATCATTGTGCTATCTTTACTCAGTAGGAAACTAAAGAAACTTTAAAAATCATATTTAGGGATTTTGGTTTAGTTCTTAGTAAAAAGCCAATAGATCTTTTGATTGGCGTGCAAGAATATTCTACCTTACCGAACTGATTATGGGAAGTCAAATTCAGATTCTCTTTTGGAAATTCACATGTGAAAACAAATTACAATGTAGAGCAGAGCAAATGCCTTTGGATGGGCAGATCCAGGTCTGTTACATGCCTTTGTTCAGAAACACAGAGTTCTTCTGGTTTCCCTTGATTGGTTTTGTTGTTAAACAGATTTCTGAATACTTTTCCCTTGAACCTCTTCTCCCAGACACAAAAGTGTTAACTTTCCTGAAATTTGTTGACTAACAAGCAGCAGAGAAAGGTGGCCCAACTCCATGCATTTCAGCTAGAACATGGACCCTGGGTTTCACTCCAGGATCGATGCTGTTACAGGGCACCTGATTAGCACTCAGAGTTCCCTGTTTTCCACAAATGGCTCCCCATTGGCTATTGATGATTGGCTATGTTGGGATCATTGTATAAGTGCCCAAATACCACTTTAGAAAAGAGTAAACTCATCACGTCACATTACGCACATCGATGGGTACACTCTTTCCAGAATAGCTGCAGATGTTCAGAGGGAGAATTCAGAGGGGGGTAATTTGAGCAGGTATATTTCTGTCGTTGTGTTTAAAGGGGAGTATCCCAGATCAGAATTGAAATATCCCTAACAATAATCAGAATCTCCACCTTTGAGAACCACCTAATGGCTCTAATATTATGTACTGAGTATGTCTCCTTGATGCTATTTTCTACAATTGGGTGAAATTGCTCTTAAATTCTGTATTCAATGAAATTGTCCAAAGACTTCACATATGAGAGAACAAGATTTCACATGTAAAGGATTTCACATGTAAAGACAATAAAAGGATTTCACATGTAAAGACAATAAAAAGATTTCACATGTAAAGGAAGTGGGGAAATTCTTACTTTAGAACAGATATTCTAAAATAATCAGTAAAAAGTTTCTCAAAAATGTTTCAAAACATTTAGTTATGGATGGAGACAGCCCTCTACTTCCAGAAACCAAAGAGGTTGTGGGACTGTATATGGCAATGAATAACCACTGCAAAGACCAAGTGCATAAACCTAACCTGTGAAGATGGGTCTGATTTATGTCAAAGTTAAATTTGGGAAAGAAACAGTTTCTTTCTCTCTCAGGGAAAGACAAATATTTTAAAGGTATGTGATTCATACAGTAAATATTAGTACTCAGTTGAGCTACAAAATGGCTTCCAAATGGGCCACAGCTGTTTGAAATAAAGTGCAAAGTTGGCCAGATGAGGATTTTAAAATCATAATACATCATTTATCATTTTCCCCAGCTCATCCAAACACTTCTGAATTCATCCTGTCCTAACTTAGTTATATGCTGTGGTTTGCTCTTCCAAGAAAGCGATCATATCCCATCTAAGGATTGCATCTCAGTGGTTAAACTAAAACATACATACTGGCTAAACTGAAACATACGTAGATAGATATCAAATAGCAATTCTAGAGAATCCAAATCCTGTTTATGTGATCTAGTGACTCACTGAGCCATTTTTGAAATGCTCTAAATACCACTATGTATATGTGTTTTTATGGGTTGATAATCCCTAATTAAAATCAGCGGTTCAATATCAATGAATATAACAAACTTAAAACAGATTCTTATCCAATTTGTCATTTTACTCATTTGCTTTATTTTCCTTCCCCAAATAAACAATCCATCCAATTCATAGAGAAAAGCAAAATTTCTGAATACCATTTAATTCCTTCTTCCTTCCTTCTTTTCTGCTTTGCCCTTCATCTCTAGTTACAGATTATTTATATAGTGGTTACAGTAATAATTAGAAAAAGTATAAAATTCTTTCAATTCTGTGTTCTGTTCAAACATATAGAAATCTTAAAAAGTCTTTTTCTTTTTGGTTAAATTCAAATGTGGGTTTTCTTCATTACAACTTCCTATTTGTAGAAAATGTTCAACAATACAGTGATGTTTAAGCAGGAATAATTTAATCATTATTCCTTCCTATATACTTTAGAAATTAAAAGTTTGTGGCTTCTTTCAAGGCTGTTATTATTTAGATTGGTTTGAGCAAGTGCCATTTGTAATTTGTAGGGCTTAGTCCTTAAGTATGATTGAATTTCCATCTTGTGTAACTTGCTCAGCATTTCTTTAAGGGTTCTCGAGCTCATAGGATTTTATAAAATGGTATTCAGAGGACTGAAAACATTACATGATATAACCAAAACAACAATCTTGCTATTGATTCCCTCTGGGGACCTTCTGATCTAAATGGTCTCAATAATATTAGTGTTACCTGTTTCTGGGATGGTAGGAATCAGAAGCAAGTTCTTTGCCTAAAATCATAGCTATAAAATATATCTGCTGATTTAGTATGTGAGTATGATTAGGTAAGTATGATATTCAGTTAATCTTAATCAGTAGTCAAGTATTGGCTATGTACCACTGTGTTGTGAGGCACCGAAACCATGAGATTAAAGTGGCAGTAAAAATTTTGTGCATCTTTGTGTCAAGATAGTGTATATTCTTTTTAATTCTTCCAATAAGAATGTTTCATTGGTTTTACTATTCTCATTTTAGAGATAAGAAAATAGACTAGAATGGGAAATGACTTTACCTAAAATCTTACAGCAAATATACCACAGAGCCATGGTCCAAATTAAATCAATCTGGTGACAAATAATCTGTCTTTGTTTTTTCAATAGCTCCTCCTGGCTTTGAGGAGTGCCTTGGAAAAGGCCTCAGACAGAGTTGAAGAGCCTGGTCTCATATTCATGACTGAAGCCCCAACATGCAGGGCGGTGGTTGGTCAATAGTAGGTGCTTAGGAAAGAGTCATGCACTGCTTAGTGACAGAGATAAGTTCTGAGAAATGTGTCATTGGGTGGTTTGGTCATCATTTGGACACCATGGAGTATATTTACACAAACTAAGAAAGCTACAATGTCAATAGCCAACGTGACTTTGGGACCACCCTCATATATGTGATTCATGTCTGACAGACACAGTATTATACAGCACATGTCTTTTTTTTGTGTCTATCCCTAGAATTGGATTTTTCCTTTTTATGAATCAGCATTACCATGAGTGCTAAGGATAAATTACTGAATTGCATCTTCTAAACTAAAATGTGCATCAATGGAAATAGCTGATTTGATAGGCATACAATCCTCCTCAAACATTTTCACAGATAATACATAAATTGCAACAGATTTGAGAATCATGTTGCAGTTATCTGCCTACCCATGTGGTGGAAACTTCTATATGAGATACCTGCTGCTACTGGGTCTAAGCATGTGAATATTTATATGTGCGCTCTACATTTGTTTATGCCTATGATAACATGCATTAATCACAGTGATGTAACAATACTTATGTGTATGTATTTAAAAGCTTGGGTTTTTTTTTTTTTTTTTTTGGTACTGGAGATCGA